TAAAAATACTAGAATGGCCAAGTTTGAGGTCCCTTGCATTAAAGAGTAAGTTTATACGACAGTTTGAATTTTCAGAAAATTTAGAGGATTTGTATGGAAGTTGTTGCTGGAGAGCAAGACCTTGCTCTCCAGCAACTTTTTCCATACAAATCTTCTTATTTTTTAAAAATTCAGACCGCGTCGTAAAATCTCATTCTTTATAGACGGGGGCCTCAAACTTGGCCATTTTGGTATTTTCAGTATGGTCTTTCCATTTCTGGCATTCTTTAAGTTATAGCCCATAATAGAAATTTTTTAAGAAAAAATGTGGTCACGTGACCCCAGCTGCAAAGGGCCTATTGGTCAAATTTACACCACTGTTTGACAAACCAAACGTACTACAAATAGATACAGCAACGTTTCAACCTCGATACTATTGTGCATTTTATACTATAAATATTATAATGTTCAAGCAATGGCTGGCCAAAAAACAAAACTGGGGCCACCTGTCTTCAAAGCACGATTACCGCGGGCCAAAAATATATAGCGAGAAAGAAACCACCTCTCAACTCAAAGTTCCCTATGAGCAAACTCAAGAATGAAACAGATTAAAATGATATGTGTAATTTTGTCTTGTTATACTTTAGTATGAGTTGCCAACTAAGGCCTCGTCCACAAGTATCCGGATATTTTTTAATCTGTAACTTTTTCTTTCCGGATACGGCTTCCGTCCACACGCATCCGGCGAATTCGGAAGCAAACTCGGTTAGAGACCATATTTCCATAAAATCGGTGTGGAGCAGGAGTGAAAATGGCGCCATCAAGAGGGCAAGATGACGTTAACTGAGATAGATGAGAATTGATCAAAGTCACGTTTGGAAAATGGCGGGTTTGTGATCTGGTGCCTACAAATTTACCGTTAACCGAGAAAAAGGGCTGAAATTTTCCTACCGTCAGATGAGTAATTGTCGAAAATTCAGCTGAAAGCTAAGAATCCAGCACCCAGTCCTGATCCTCTAAAAATAGTACAAATCGTACTTGTTATGTTAACACGCTCTGCGATCACTGCAGTTTGAAACTCATAATATTGTAAATAATTTATTAATTGAGGAACTCTGAAAAAGCTACAATTAGAGACAGGTCAATTACATTTGGACTTAAACTCCATTACCGTGATTATTTCCAACAGCAGGACATGTACAGCAAAGCTACTTTTAAAATGCAAATAGATTTACACGTTATCGATTAAATAATTCAATACATCCAACACCCCAAGTATATATCGTTAAAATTCAAGAGAGTTTTTCTCTTGTCAGATTACGTTCAATACCTTTTCCTCCAGTCGAAAGTTGAGCTTTTGTCAGAGGTTACTAAGCAACATGAAATCTCAACTGGCGCTTCACCGAAGTAAATAATACTTTAGAGTAACTACGATTTGATCGAATAAGAAGAATCGAAAGCTCCTCCGGGCCTTTCTGCAACGATTTGCCAAACATCGGCAAAGCAGTTAGTGAAGTACTATTTCAAGAGAGCCTCTTTCGGGGCCTCGTTTGAAATTTAAATAGCTTTAAATATATAAAAAAGCCATTTGTGTATAAAAAATAATCAGACTTTCAGCAGTAGTAACAGATTTGTCTTATACTTACATCACTGAAGAAAATATCTATCTTACAGTCCTTTACTACCAGACATTTACGTTAAGATGACTTTCGAAGTCTTAGAAGTTACCACATAGGTATATGCGGTACAATTAAACCAATAAATAAGTATAAAGAATATTTTGGTTCGATGAATCTTGCGTGACTCTAAAAATAAACATCACGTAATAACTGCTCAAAACCTTGTAAATAGTTTATCCAAAAGAGTGCTTCCTCGCTACTATAACAATTCAAGACACTTTCATCCCCGAAAGTGACCATTAGCTAATTTCTTCTTAGAATATCACCATGAAATTCACGGGCGATCAACCTCGTACCCAGTTCCCGTGAACCTCGTTCTCTCTGCTTTTATCCAGATTTCCTTGTCAACGACTAAGCGGTATGTTTAAGGTTCACTCCATATGAACCAAATCCGGGCCAAAATTCTGGCAGGCTGCCTACAGTATTCCACTACAAAACCCTTCCATCTAAACTTTCACACTTGAATTAAACAGAAAAAAAAATCCTTAGAACACAAAAACTGGGGTCTCTTTAGGCGACCCAGTAGTTTGCTTCCGTTTTTTCTACTTCTTGGATTTTCGTCTCACAGAACCGTTGTCGTCATTTCACTGTCTATTCCTTCCGCTTTGAGTCGGGTGAGCAATGGCTTGTAAATTTCGCGGCTAAGAGGTCGAACAACACCTTTGGCTTTCAAGTCCCCTGCAATGATACAACAGAGAGTGTCAGAACAACAAGACGGGAAATAACCGAGATATAGTTTCGTCAAACTGGCGAGGAAAGACTCTAGACAAGGGATTTGCTCTGCCACTGTTTCAAATTTCGTTCCTAGAGTCGTTCGTTTCTTTTAGTCCAGAACTTCAGATAGGTTCGTCAAAACTTGTTGGACAACGTCGCTATAGAATGGTTAGGGTAAAAAATGATCAGATATAATTTCAGTACCCTTTTCACTCTAACTCGAATATAAAATCCACATCTTCGGGTTCTCTATTAATATTCTATGTATTTCATTACTTACCATCCAGTACCATCTTTGTAGCAATCGCCACAGGAAGCCCAACAGTACGTGCCATTGCTGAGTGACCATGTGGATCACCATAACAAATCATGTCAATTCGACGGTTTTCCTGTGGTTCAAAATGATGTGGAAGTCATTGGCACAATTTATTTCTTTCATTAAAATTTCCAACTGGCTCGTTAATGCCAGTCGTTTCATATAGTTTTGAACTTGTTCACGATACTTTTCGGCCAGGAAAACAAACATACTGCCAAATTGCACAAGTAGTCACCAGCACACCGACAGTGATCATCACTCATGAGATGAAACTGATATAATGTTGAAATAAGTTCCTTTCTACTTGCAAGATGTTTTCTTTCTTTATTGAGAAAGACACACTCAAGGTTTCATCCGACAACTTGATACAAAAAAATTGAACGCGTTACAAATATGATAGATATATCACACAGGTGTAGCATAAGACAGTGCCCACACTACGCCGGAGAAATTTGAAAACGCAGCTTTATTTCCACGGTTAGGCCTACTGTCCACACTAATCCGTCACGAAAACGGAGCTAGTTTTCGAAAACGCTCTTCAAACCGGAGGAATCTGAATACGCCGGCTTTATTTCCACGGTTAGGCCTACCGTCCACACTAATCCGTAACAAGATACTAATAGGTCATTTCAAAACGCCAGCTTTTCGTTTGCGTGTGGACGTAAAACGTTTTGAAAACGTAGTTTTTAGAAAACGACGTAGTTACGATAATCACGTGACTTCCCTGCCCGTGTTTTCCTCAAACACAAATCCAATGACCGGTGATTGTCAGCGGCGGTTCTAAATTCCTCCAGCTAAATGTGGACGGGGCCTACACGACATAGCCGTTACAGAATATAGGTGTACACATAACGAATGTTCCGCAAATTAGCATATTATAACAATGACGCACCTGTGTTTTATCAGGTAACTCTAAACCGATGTCATGTTGAAGTAAAACCATGTCGCGTTCTCCTTCTCCTGATGTGAAAAAAAAGAAAATCTGTTGCTTAAAAATTCTTAAAATAGACGGAAACGAAATCAATTGCCATAGTGTTATAATTACTGTTACCGTAAATAATTTTTTAAGGCCTCTACTCTACAACCGGTACGCTTCAACATACCATAGGCAAGTTTCTCTGTAAGGTACAAACAAAGAGTGTCCAGTGGCGTTCTTTGTTGAAGAACAGGTTCGTCAGAGAGAAGACCAAGACTGGAAGAAAAACGAAAAAATTAAATAAAATTCACGTTAAAAACAGCCAAATGATGCACAGATAATTGCTCGCAATCTGGCTTGTCTTGTCAGGATAACTGCTAAGGGATAATAGAAGCAGCCATCTTGATCGTGACCGAAGTTCCAGCTCAATATGGAACATGCTCGCAAAAGACAACAAAGTCCGCCATAATCAGCTGGAACTTCGGTGCCTGAAGTGCAGTAACACTGCCTGAAACGTCGCGTTTTAAAACCACCTCAGAAAGTCCCGTGTAGAACAAGATTTACTCTATTTATTTTGTATAATATTTCTAGCTTTTAAACGTGTGCTTACTCTTTGATAGCCTGCATACGAGCTGGATCTTTGCCCACTTTCTCAAACACAACTGAATGCAGCTCAGAGTCACTGGCGTCTGGTTTGCCTACAAGTTTGGCGAGCACTTGTCTCTGTAAAGAGAATATAGAGCACAGTAAGCTCCACGAGCCATAGAGCGGTTTTCTTTTGACAGAACTGAAGCAAAAACCAATCAAACGCCATCACAGAGCCAATTATTACGGTAGCTGAGGAACAGTAAGCCAGTCAGGAATGTAGCACAGAGGGGCTAATGCCCAAAACGTCAGCTTCACAAACGCGCTATGGTGGTTAATTTACCTTTGGCGACTTCAAGTTAATAAATAGCCATTTTTTTTCACTTAGCCGCAGGCTCTTTATAAACCAATAACTTTGCTCAATCAGGACTACGCGACATGTGACAGGTGCCAAGCGCGAGAAGAAGTCACGTGAGTCAAAATCAAGATTCGTTCAACACGTGACTTAACATCGTCACGCTGATCGGTTAAAGCACGTTGTAAAACAACACGCGCAAACTCCACTGTTGTGAATAGATGTAACTCTTTTAAAGTTAAGAAACACTATTTTACCCAGGGTTGTTCGTGAGCTAAGGCCAGATCAGGTCGTTCTGTTGAACTGTACATTCCAAGTTGTAACAGAGCCAAACAGGCTGTGGCATATCCCTACAAAAACAAGTGCATAGCAGATATCTCGAAAGCAGGGCAATGACAAAATCGAAGTTTATTCGTCTGAAGAATAAAATCCAACCAAGAAGTTGCATCCATCAGGAAAAGGTCGACAGGCCTACGCAACGTTGACCTAAGCCTCTCTATCAAAGCGAGGCCTGGTGCACAACCATTCATATGAAAATAAATTTGATTTGCATGTAAATGAAATTTCATTTTCATATGAAAGGATGGGCACCAAGACTCGCTTTGAGAAAGAGGCTAAAGGTAATTCGGAAATGGTCTATTAATATACCACACTTTGCCAACGTCAATACCTTTTGAGCTGACTTTACACACAAATGATAATACTGACTCTTCTGCTTCACTTTGTTTTAGTTTGCACACTGTTGTTCATTATTTGAAGTCTAGATTTTTTCAGAGGGAAAACATCATTTCAAGGCAATTTAAATGTTATATTATACATGTCAAGGAAACGCCACAAACAATGAGACTAATGGAATTGTACTGCGTCATACAAACACAGCTTTCCCCAATCAACTTACGTATTTTCTCGGGGGTATTTCATAAAAACATTTATTAAGTACGCCGCACCTCATAACGGAGAGTTCCCCTAAGTATAGTGCTCGCTGTGGTGATGTCGTAAAGTTCGCCATACGCCGTCGAGTCTCTGTTGGGGTAACACTCCAGTCTGTAGCCTGGGAACATGTCTGTTGGTTTGATTTCCTCCAGTAAAGCCCCACCTGCAGCCACTTCCACAGTCTGAAACATAAACCAATATAAGAACTCTCTCTC